GCCAGCTTAGCACAGTGATAGATGTTCTGCGCTCACATAAAGAGTCGAGACTGTTGGGTAACGTTCACATTGGCGGTCACCTGAACCCAGCAAGCATCAATGACCTGGACTTACCTGATGGAAATAGACGTCGCTGTACTGTTTCGAGAAAGCCATCAGCTCTTCCACGCTCATTTTCGGAGTCTGTTTAACGGCCTCCAGATATTCCTCACTAAAATAAACACAAAAGATTTTGAGACCGGACTCAATCATACAGCAACAGAAATGGGGCCTGGTTTAAACTCCACCAACCTGTGTGCGAGTAAAATCTCCTGCTCGGTGGCCTGGCGGACCGGCAGCTGTTTGCACCTCTGTGTCACGCCGTGAGTCTTCAGCGCTTCGTAAGACACGGTCAACCGCTCGGGCACCTCGATCTCACAGACTGGACTGGACGGAGCAACAACAAACAGATTTGATGTGAAAATAGAAAAACAGACAACGTTTATAATCATTTGATAAGAGTTTTGGGAGATTTCGACAGAATGGGAATCTGCCAAGCAGGCAATAATTTAAAAACTGACAAAAAATCAGTAATGCAGTTATTAAATTATGCAAACGTAGTAAAACAGTGATAGCAATATTAGAAACTACTACAATTTTATAATTGACTTAAATCTGCGATTATTACACTTTGGTTGCAATACTAAAATACATAATCTGTTGTGTTCATTTTGTATTATTGAAATTCAATATTATGAATTTGTTTTTATTTTTGTATTTTTCATTTTCATTTTCATTTTAGTAAGTTTTAGCAATTTGTTGTGTTTTGTCATTTTATTATTAGTTATTGTTTAGTTCGTTTTTATTCATTTTTATTTCAGTTTTTGTTATTTTAGTACAACAAGTTAAACTAATTGAAAATGAGCAATGTTGCTTTGGCAGCTAGCTGAAATAAAATAGAAGTTTGTTTTTCAGTTATCGCTTATTTTATTTCTAGTAACCATTTTTTATGGTTTTAGTTTAGGCTTTAGTTAACTATAGCAACCCTGTTTTTCAGTAATAAAAATCATTTCTGAAATCAATAGCTATGTTTATTTTATTTTTAGTATTGAAAATGCCCATTCCTGACTAGTACAAAATGCAAACCCAAGTATATCACTGTATATGTTTATTATTTAATTATCGAGTCTCACATATCTCAACACATTTCAGAAATCAGTTTTTTAAAACTAACTGGACATGAAATAGCATTTAATTATACACCACAAAATAAGAAACCAACATCTCCAGAATTTTGAAAAACATCAAAGATATGAAAAACAAACAAAAAAGAAATAAATAAAAAATTCACATAAATCAAGTATGATCATTTTAACTCGTGAGGAATAATATGTATGGGATCATGTGGTAATACTATGGTACTTTGACCACCATACAGAATCAATGATTTTCACATTTTATTCACCATTTTATTTGCATATAAAACTGTGACGTACTTCATTGAATGCTATGTACTATAATAATATTATGTCTAAAACAACAGCATAACATGAGACTTTTGTAAGAGACGTGCAGTAAGTGATGAGATGACTTACTCTTTCCAGAGGAGTTTATAACGGCTCATCTCCTCATCGAAGATCAGTGCGCTTCCTGACGCCATTTAAACACTCTGCTCTGGATTGCGAACAAACCTAACTGATTAATAACTGTAAATCATTGTAAATTACAATTTCAATCACGCACGGGAAAGCAGAACGGTTCAAAGTCCCTTCAAAGCTGTTGTTTCTTCTTCTTCTTCTTCTTGGTTTTTAACGGCGGCTGGCACCAACGCAAATAGGTGCATTACCGCCACCTTCTGCTCCGGAGTGTGAAACAGCGTTCTAAATTCTATTTACCAACCCTGTATCTCTTATCAAATCAAAGAATACATTACTATTTATTTCACTTGCCCATTTTATTAAAACCTTAAAATTAAGATCCTGAATTCCATTTTTCCTTATTTCTACTGTCATTTTTCCTCTTTCTTGTTCATACTTGCTACATTCAAGAAATACATGAGGTATTGTTTCTTCAACATGACATTGTTCACATAACCCATTTGGATGTTTCCCTGTTATTTTAAGAGTGCTATTTAAATTTGAGTGCCCTAGCAATATTCTGTTAAAGATAACCTCGTCTTTCCTTGACTTTACCTATACACTTTATATTATGACTTACTTTGTTTATTAACCTGTAAAGGAATCTACCATTTTCCCCATTGTTCCACTTAACTTGCCATTCTTTCATCACTTTACTCCATATTAAAACCTTAATCTCTGATTTACTTAATGGAACTTGTATCTCTATATCGTTTCTCTCTGTAAAGCTTGCTTTGCTAATTTATCCACTTCTTCATTTCCCCTTATTCCTAAGTGTGCTGGGACCCATATAAAACTGATTGATGTATCATTTTGAACCATTCTTGAATGTATTTGTAGGATACTAAAAAGAACATCTTGGTGACATGATTTAAAAGATTTCAAACTCTTTAAAGGGGTCATATGATGCGATTTCAATTTTTCCTTTCTCTTTGGAGTGTTACAAGCTCTTGGTGCATAAAAAAAGATCTGTAAAGTTGCAAAGACTAAAGTCTCAAATATATTATGACTGACTTTGTTTATTAAACTGTAAAGGAATCTACCATTTTCCCCATTGTTCCACTTAACTTGCCATTCTTTCATCACTTTACTCCATATTAAAACCTTAATCTCTGATTTACTTAATGGAACTTGTATCTCTATCGTTTCTCTCTGTAAAGCTTGCTTTGCTAATTTATCCACTTCTTCATTTCCCCTTATTCCTATGTGTGCTGGGACCCATATAAAACTGATTGATGTATCATTTTGAACAATTCTTGAATGTATTTGTAGGATACTAAAAAGAATATCTTGGTGACATGATTTAAAAGATTTCAAACTCTTTAAGACTGAAACTGAGTCAGAACAAATTAGAACATTCTCAGGTTTGTGTTCCTCAACCCACTGCAAAGCCAAGAGCATTCCTATCATTTCTACAGTATAAACTGCCAAATGATTTGAAGTTCGCTTTACTCCACTGATCCACTGGTCATCACTGTCTTGAACTAAAAAAGCAGCCCCAGTTATTTGATGTTCTGGATCTTTTGAGCCATCTGTATACACTTGTATATGCCAGGGGTATTGGACTCTGGTATACATTGAAAATGCAGATGCCAAGTCAATTTCTCTTTCTGTTTTTTTAACCTCCAACAAATGCAAATCTACTTGAGGTGTTACATAAACCCATGGTTCATATTCCTGAATAACAACTGTTGGGCTCATCTTGATGTTATTTACTTGTATTTCTTCTGCATATATTTTACTACTCCACCCAAAACTTATTCTACATCTTTCATTTTGTTCCCAACAGTTCTGTAAGACCATTTTTGTGGGATGTTCATCTTTATGCCCCTGGAGGTTAGCCCAGTAATTGACCATTAATTGTTTCCTTCTAATTTCTAGTGGCATCTCTCCTACTAAGACTTGTAAAGCTGGAATGGGTGTAGTCTTTACTGCTCCACAACACTGTCTCATCGCTTGAGCTTGAATTTTACAAAGTTTTTCCAACAGGTTTTTTGAGGCAGAACCATATACCACACAACCATAATCAAATACAGACCGGATCAGTGCTACATAGATCGTTTTTAATGAAGAAAAGCTTGCCCCCCATTCCACTCCACTTAATGATATTTAACACCTTCTGACATTTCTCAACTATTTTCTTTTTCGTCGCTCGGTGAACGCGGAGCATTTGACTTGCAACGCATTACCGCCCCCTACCGGATGATCACGTGAACAACAACAATTACAATCTAAGCGTGATTTAAAAAAAATTACCAAATAAATAAAAATAAAACACAAATGCTACACGCAAAACGAAGCTACACTACCTATCTTTTGGAAGAGACTTATTTTCATTTATTTGAATTCTTTTGTAAAGCCTTGTGCAATGTTATTACTAACCATTTGCTTGTGCATTTTTCTTTTTTGTCAATGCAACGGTTTTTTTTTTTATAAATGTATACAGTAATTCTGAATACAATGGGTATTTTAATATCAGTCTTTTGCTGTTACTTGCCAAATTTCATATTCACCAAATTTGGATGTCTCTGCACCTCTCTGGGTCTTGTAATTATTATTATTATTTTTTAAATACATGCTTAACACTCTCAGTAGATATATATTTGTTTTTAACAGTGTCCAACAACGTACAATTCACAAGCATCAGAGCAAAACTCTGTATTTTTTTTTTCTGAAATCCATTAATATATTAAACACAACGTAATTTCCACGTCTCAAATGACGTGAATTTGAACCGTAACAATAATAAATAATGAAGACAAGGTAAAAAATAGTTTTCCAAGACAGTTTTAATGCACATTAGTTAACGCACACATACCTCATTGTCACGTGGTACCACTTACATTTATGCTCACTGTTAGGATGATGTGGTTAGGATGGACCTAAATGACAAAGCACAATTTTCTGATGACAGAATCACAATAAATAAAAACCTTTATATTTATTAAAAAAAAAGAGCCACTAAAATTCCATTTGGAATACTAAAAAAGTGGCAAATGTTAGAGCAAAATCATAAATAGAAAGGTATGAAATCAAAAAGAACAATGCTTAAAAACGGTCTACAAACATAATAATGTATATAAAAAGTGTAATAAAAGTAAATCCATCCAAATACAACCTATTTGAAATTTTCAATGGCCCATATGAGAATTATTGCTCTTTTGTCCATGCTTTTAAAAACTATGGTTAATGCATCTTTTACAGTATATGTTACTACATATACTGTATACTATATACTGTACTGTATATAGTATAACTCTTACCATCAATCTAATTTACTCTCTCCATTATGGGACTATTTTTAAAGCACTTTTTGGTCGATTTTTGGACATTAACTGAATTTTAAGCAAAAAAATATTCATATGACAAACACTGAAAGCTATAAACATTCATACTGATGATTTATGAAGTGAACAAATATATTGTTAAACAGTTATTTGTAGATCAGCAGCTTTTTGTTAGCAAAATATTCTGGCTTGGCACACATGCTGTTTTTATCCATTTGGGTCTGTTGTTGATGCAGTTAGAAAAGCCATGGTGTAAACTTATTAATATCATTCATATATGTGCATACATATGTGTATGTATGTGTGTGTTTGGCAGTTATATGGCACTGCATGTAGAAACACTGACATCTTCAGATTCCCAGAGTCTCTTTGGTCACCTGACATCCGAGCAGGACATTCCCCACACACACACACTGAGACAGATCTCCCACTGAAACACACACACACTCAAATCATCAGTGTGTGTCAAAGAACTGAAGATATTTGCTGAAACGTCTCTTGATGAACGCTGACTGAATTAATGTGGTCTGGAATGGAGATCTCACCTTTCTGAGAGCCGATCCATGACGCTGCCTTCATGGCCACAAACTGCCACTCCACCTGCTGCTCTATTTTACAGCCGTATAACCAGATCAGAGCCAGGAGAGTGGCCCATACTGACCCATCCACCTGTGTACAAACCATCATCCACTGCATTTGTTACTGGACACTGCACACAATCATCACTGTCTTATTATTTCATCACATCTCTCACCTGTGCTGGTTTCTGATTGGTCAGCTCATCCTCCGTCTTCCCAAACACATCAGCCAGTGTGGCGTCCAGATCCCAGCAGCCTGACGCCTTTTGCAGAGAAACCAGCTGCAGTAACAGGTCCTTCTGAAGCTCAGGAGCAGCTGAACACACACACACACAAACATACAAGAATAAATAAAAATCAATATATAATAATAATAAAATTAAATAAATAGCTATAAAACAATGTGAATTTTATGACCTACTACACTTGTCAAATGTATGTCAAATGAGTCAATTAACATCTTGTAAAGTGAAAAGCTACATGTTTGTAAGAAACAACTTCATCATCAAGGCGTTTTAACTTTAACCGTCACTTCTGGCCAAAATGAGTCCATAATTCATAATAACGCTTCCTCCAGTGATAAAGTCCATCACCTGTTGTCCTCTCACATCAAAATCCACAGACATATTTGTTTAAAACTGTTTTGGACTTTGGATCTGTGCATATTTCTCTCCTGATTCAGACGAGACGACTTTTAAGACGACTCATATTTTAGCCGAAAACAAAGGTTTGAAGTTAAATGCCTTAATCGTGGGTTTGTCTCTTTCACTTCTCAAGATGTTAATTGATGGACTGGAGTGGTGTGGATTACTTATGGATTATTTTGTGATGTTTTTATCAGATGCTTGAACTCTCATTCTGACGGCACCCATTCACTGTAGAGGATCCATTGGAGAGCAAGTGACGTAATGCTACATTTCTCCAAATCTGTTCTGATGAAGAAACAAACTCATCTACATGTTAGATGGCATGAGAGTGAGTACATTTTCATTTTTAGGTGATCTATTCCTTTATATACTGCACAGTTTTCAGTAACTAAGCTAGTACTTTCTAAACATAACCATTGTGTCCATCTTCTGTGTGTGTGTGTGTGTGTGTGTGTGTGTGTGTGTGTATGTGTGTGTGTGTGTGTGTGTATGT